AAAGCCTTGCTTCCCTACATTTTCGATTCCAAGCTGCAAAAGCAACACCTTCTCAAATCAAAGACTTGTAAATAAATTCTGTTATTCTTTCCACTTTGTTTAGCTTCCAAATGAAGTACACATTTTCATCATGTAAATTATCTCTCTCCTGCAGTGACATCTCCCACCTGTACCTGATGCAACTGAGTTCATCCTGTCCTACCCTGTTTCTTTTTAAAGTGCATTTAAGAATTTTACTTTTTTCTAAGAGAAAACAACAATTTTTTCTTTCCCATGGGCTGGACATCTACAAGATCAGCAATCCTCACCTGAAATCGCCTGCTGTAAACTTTGCCTCAGCAAGTGAAAAGGCAGCTTCTCTCATCACCTCACCCATCAGCATCTTAGTCTGTTTAAAAAAAAAAAGGCAGCAAATACAAGGCACATCATTGCTCCTTTACCAGGATAAATAATTAACAGCATAAAGAAGAATAAGAAATTTGAGTAAGAAATTTCTGTCAGCAGAAGAGGAATGCACAAGTGACAGAACAGACAGGTTCCATACCAAGTCAGCCAAACAGAGGTAAATTCTCATTTACCTACCTCAATAATTTTCTTAAGGATCTGCCTAAATCGAAGTGTCAAAGCATCAGATTTTTTCTTCAAGAGATTACGACCCGTCTGGGCTCCTTTTAAACGGGCCTTCATGATGGTCTGAGCCCTGTTAAACAGAGGAATACATAAAAACGTCATGCATCATCTGAAGGGATTAGGAAAAAACTTCTGCAAAGTTTGCTCACACGGATATAGGTGAAATTATGAAGCAACCAAGAAATATCAACGCAGTAAAAACAGGATCGCCACCTCAGGATAGAATTTTATATTCCCATCTAAAATCAAGGGAATTTATTTTATTTACTACTGTCCTGGGTTTCAGCTACAGCAGTCATTTTTTTCTCCTTCTTAGTAGCTGGTGCAGTGCTGTGTTTGTGACTTTCAGCCTGGGAACAACACTGATAACACCGATGGTTTTAGTTGTTGCTAAGTAATGGTTTCTCTGACCAAGGACTTTCTCAGTCTCATGCTCTGCCAGAGAGGAGGGAAAGCCGGGAGGAAGCAGAGACAGGACACCTGACCCAAACCGGCCAAAGGGGTATTCCATACCACAGCACGTCATGCCCAGTATAGAAACTGGGGGGAGTTACCCGGAAGGCCCAGATCGCTGCTCGGGTCGGGCTGGGTATCGGTCGGCGGGTGGTGAGCGGTTGTGTCCTTTTCCCTTGTTATTCCTCTTATCATTATTATTGGTAGCAGTAGTGGTTTGTATTATACCTTAGTTACTGGAGTGCTGTTATCTCAACTCGTGGGAGTTACATTCCTCCGATTCTCCTCCCCATCCCTCCAGGTGGGGTGGGGGTGGTGGAATGAGCGAGCGGCTGCGTGGTTCTGGGTTGCCGGCTGGGCTTGAACCACGACAATCTCCACCAGCAATGAAAATTAGATTCCATCAAAGATCATGGAAAATTGACATGTCATTTTTCAGCGCTTCCATAATAGGAGAAAAGTTTTCATTTTTTGATGACTTAAAAGTGCCAGAAATCCAACTACCCACTGTCAGTGTGACAGTGATGTTGCTTTTAAGCTCTTTCACTGCTATGTCATCTTCTCAAAATCAGACAACACAGCAAATTCTTCATGTGATCACAGCTGTTGATGCTGTGTTCTGACTTTATAGTGCAACACGATACAGCAGCCATATATTCTGGTTTAAAGAAAGTCGGAAAGCACAATGATTCCATAGCTTCAAGTGCCACACAGGAGATGTACAAGCTATTTAAGACCATCAGAGGTAGCATCAGTTGAAAAGGGACATGAGTAAGCTAGCTGTAGCGTTGAATATCCTTTACTTCCAGTAGCACACTTACAGGTTTCTTGTACAGAATTAGGATCTGAAGAAGGATCCAAGCCTTGCTTCCCTCTCTGCTGTGGAGTGTATTTTAATTTGAAGAATCTTTTTGCTTTAAGTTATCTAGAACAGCAGGAGCTGTACAAGAAGCAGCACAAGGTGTGCTAACTTAAGCTAGCCCTTTGTGCATACAGCTGCTACGCACAAAGGACAATACTCAAGTCACCTCTATTTGAACAAAAGCCCTATATGCTTCCTCTCTGACCTTGAAAAAGTAAGTATAATTAAGATTCTACCTACACAGTGGGATCCATTACTTTCCACGTTTACTAGCATGTGATGAGAATAGCTCCATTAGTATCTACCAAATACTTCTAACTGAAAAGCACAAATAGTTTCTAAATGTTTATGATTAAAAAAACCACCACAAAGTCAAAGAGTAAAAAGGCAGCTCTGCCTCCACAACAGGCAGGTCTCTGTCACCACCTTGAACTAACTTGTTTGCTCTGTTCACCACCTGCCAGAGACTGGCTGACTTTCTAGTTCAAGCAAGATTTCACAGGCCCTGAGAGTGCATTGGACAAAGTCTTGTTTACTGTCAAGGAGACTGAGCAGCTTCTGTAATTGCTGACATCCAGCGCAGAAAGGCCCCTACCTGCAAGCCACCTCATGAAAAAAAAAAAAAAAAAAGAAACAACCAAAAAAACACAAAAAAAAATCACCCACAAAACAAAAACCTTGTGACATTCTGTTCTGTCAATTAACAAAGTAACTATTGCAGATGCAGGCTGTCCTTATTTTATCATCCTTAACTTACATTCTATCAAAACATCAGCCACGCTATTGGTCTACTACCTCATTTAAAACAGAGCTTGTAAATATTAAGCCTTGTACATCACCATGTTCTTGTCACAATGACATATCCTACAAAACCAGATACCTTTTAAAAGTGATCTGCTTCCTCCTTGGGCATGTAAACTGAATGGAAAAAGCACTACCAAAAGAGCAGGAGTGAGACCAGGTGAGTATATGTATATGTATACGTATATGTATGTGATTTATTTCTGAACTAAGTTTCCAAAGAGACCCTTTACCATGTGATGTGTTAATCTTTCCATATAAACTCTTATTTCATATGTCCTGAGCGCATACATGGGGGAATAATTATTCTTTTACATTCAATGATTTCTCTTCTGCAAGGCACCTTTTTATGAAGACTACATGCAGGCATCAACCCAGTTTTATGCAAGAAGATTTGAAACAGCCTGTCACCTTAAAGCAAAGTCTTTCTGTCCTGGAGAGTTCTAAAAAGAAACTGAATAGCATTAGAACAGCAATTTTATTAGCGGATTAGTTTCACTTGTTTGTGTTCATTCCAACTTTGGTGGCCTTTTAAGCCTTGTCAGGAGACATCTGATTTCATGACAAATAGTTTGCTGTCAAGATCTGGAAAATTACTTCTCTGTCCACTGCACATTACGCATTTTACTTCCTTCTTCTCTTTTAACACTTTATGGCCAACCTTTCGTACCGCAGTACTGTCTATTAAAAAGCTATGGCTCGATTAGCGCAATTTTTTTCTAGTACATATATTCTACAAATTCTTCTTCTAAAAATAAAGGTTTTCGTAATTGCATGATTT